GAGCCGCGTCGATCCGCTGGAAATTAGTGGCCGATTCTCGGCTGCCTCGAAAAATTAAACTCCATTTTTCCGCGCGCGCCAATTTCGCCCCCTCCCTCGCCAACCTTTTTACTCCGGCGAGCATCGAGGGAGGGGGGAGGAGGACGAAAACGATATCGCTCGTTGAATGAAAATACTCGTTGGCCGAGCTTCGTCTTGAAAAAAAAAAAAAAAAAAAAAGAGGACTATCGAATGGACGAGTATCGTATGGGGATAATGTGCACGGTGGAAAATTGTACTCGAATTTTTTTTTTTTATGTTTGTTTCGAATATATTTGAGAAAGAAATTAGAAATTTTCAGGGAAATCTTTTTGAGCGGAATTCCTCTATCTTTATCTCTAAAAAAAAGGGGGTAAAAGTTTTAAAACTTATTTAGAAAATTATTTTTTTCTATTCCTTTCTTTTTTTTTTTAATTATGGAGGATAAAAAATATATATATCTATATCTTTGTCGTGGATATCTTTTGGTCAATACGATAATTTGATAATTTCTTTTATCCGATATTTGTTGAAAAGTCGAAATCTGGTCGTTTACAGACCAGAGTTTCGGAGCGTGGATTGTTTCGTTGATTCGATGAATATCGAGGCGTACGTAATAATCGCGCGTTAATGATCGATAACATTGAAAATACATCGAAATCTGGTGTTCTTCGTTTCGTAATTAGTTAGCGGGCATTAGTTATCTAGATTCGCCTGATAAAGAGAAGTTTGAAATACAAATGGAAATGTTGCAGGACGTGACCGCAGATATGCAAATGAATATATACGGTTTGTGTAATCCCACACGCAAATATATTCATTCAATTACATCTTGTTACGTATTTCCATTCATCTTTTCCCTACTTTTCAACCTGCACACCATTTTTCCCTCACACTTTTTTCCTCATTTCTCAACGATAGATACGATATTTTCAAAGATCCCTGTATAATAAATGTAAATCGTTGCGAAAAAACAAAAAAAAAAAGAAAAAAAGAAAGTCATTTATCCTTAATTTATCTGAATTTTTATGAACAAGTTTCGATAACGTTTTAAAATTATTATACCGATTTTATTGCAACGATATTGAAATATGATAATGTTAATAATATTTCATGATTACCAAACGTTTGAATACTCCTCTCTTTCACCTTTGTAATTTATTTTCCTTACAAATTGAATATCGGACGATTGACGATTGTATCGATAATCGAGCCTTCGTTAAAGGTAAAAAATATTGACGAACATTTGCAGGATAAAACTCGCTCTTTCCACGATAATACCTTTACAATCCGTAGCGAAGTGACGTAATTTTTTATAAAATATTTCAAAGACAAAGATATAAGACAAAGGAACACTTGCTTCTCTCCTTATCCTTTCCTATATATGAATACCGTCTGACAAGTTGACGAGGGTTCTGTTTCCTACGAACGAAATTATAAAAACATCTTAGAATTATTCTATTCGCCCGACGACGTTAAAAATTTTCTCGAAACTTGGTTGAAGATTATTAATCCAATTCCTTGAAAAAAATATATATATTTTTTTAAGGTAAAGTTTGTTCGACCAACAAAATTTTTCTACTTTTCTCTTCTCGATTAACGTTACGATTTTTACATTATTTCTCTTCAAAATATTCTCTGGAGAAGAAAAAAAAAAAAAGAAAAAATTAAAATATTAATCCTTTTAAACGATATAAAGTTATTTCACCGATGTGCTTTATTTAATAATGCAACACACTTTAGATAATTAATTCAAACACAAATTAAATTAAATTTCAGACAGAAACTGTCCACTTAATCTTTTGTACTTTTGCTGATTTAATTACACGAATTACTCCACTCACGAATATTAAAGGGGGCGCAAATAATCATAAATTGGACTCTTAACTCGAGCCGGAAAATTCTTTCACGGCCCAATGTATTCTTACATTTACATAATACCATTATAACGACATTATAACTCGTTCCAATTTCTATCAAAAAATATCCTAAATATTTGATAAAATCCATCCAAATTATCACTTCACAACCGAAACGTATTCTCTGCATTTAAATAATTTACTCGTTCCGATTCTCATCGAAAAACATTCCACGCGCACGTTACAAAAGAAAAAAAAAAAAAAAAAAAAAAAAAAAAAAAAAAAAAAAAAAAAAAAACTATTTCAAATCCATCAAACTATCTCCATTGAACCGCAATATTTTACTTTAATAGGGAACAAAAAAGAAGGGGGAGTGAAAAAGAAAAAAAAAAAAAATTGGTAGAAAAAAGGATTTTTTTTTTTTAACAAATACCAAACCTATTAACGAGAATATTTTTTACAGAATCGGGCCCTTCACCCGAAAAGAATTAACCTACTGACGTTGAAAAATTGAAAAAATGACTAAAAACCAATCTCCCCTTCCCCCCTCCCCATTCACAATTCAACGCCAATGCCATTCAAGCAAATCAACCGATATATATATACATGCATGCGCACATATATACGCACACGTAAATATAAAACACAAGTTTTTCTTTTTTTTTTGTTTCGCAGAAATTTTTGAATCGAGCGTAACCCGCCGCCGTGTTGATTGAAAACGGTAAATTCGCGGCCGCACATTTAAATATTATCGCGGATCGGGGGAAACGGGACGTTTATTTTCATTCCATCTTTTCATAATGTATTCTTGTCATATAAACGACGGTTCAAATGTCAATTATCGCGTTGCAGGGAGACATGGTGAAATTATTTTCCGAATTACTAACCTCCGCCTGCCGAAGCGATATCGGGAGTGAAAGGAGGGATAGAGAGGGGGGAGGATTGGGCACGCCAAAAGTGGTGGTGGTGGTGGTGGTGGAATGATTTATCGATTCATCTTCGGTTCCCTCGCGCAAATCAAATAAAACTGTGGATAACAATTATACCATAATTGTGTAAATAGTCGATCCAATTGGAAATCAATCCCTCCCCTCCACCGCCGCGCAACGATCGGATACGAGATAAGGATAAAATTGATGTTAGCTTTTTGCATCGGATTTCCTGGTTACCTTTAATAATTTGCTTTGCGGAAATTTTCGGCCGCGGCCATATTTAACGCAAACGTCGTAAGTAACCCAACGTTTCGATGATCGAATATTATTATTAAAGCGGAGTTAATCGTCGATTAAACTCTATTTACAGCGGGTATATATCATTTGTTTTTCGATCGAAGAGAAGAATATCGATGGATTTTGAATATAATTTTGAGAGAAATTTTGAAAAAATGAATCATTTTTATCTTGACTCTCTCAAGGTGGTTGGAACAGTTTAATGCTTTGAATAAATCATACTCGTATTCGATAAATAATATCGGTTTGGTTAAATACTTTTATTCGAATATTCCATTCACTGGGTTTTTATTTATTGAAAAAGTAATCTTTTTAATTTTCATACCGAATAAAACGATTCAACGATAAAAAATAACCAAATATGTTGAAAAGTTCACTTTTTCTTTTTTTTTTTCGGAATTGAATCTTTCATATCAATCTCGTTTCTTTTGTAACAAGAATCGATAAAATATTTCTAAAAAAAAAAAAAAAAAACTGTTCTATTCGAATATCATTTATCCAAAATAATAATGATAGTAATGAAAAAAAGAAATTGATCGACTAACAAAGAGGAAAACGTAATTTTCGAAAACAAATAATTCAAATAATTTTGAATTAACGATAAATTCAAATCGATTTAAAAAAAAGTAATTCGACGGGTAGTAATTTTCCATATCGTTTTTCATACCGTTCTCTTTCATCTTCGTGGAAGAGAAAAATTGCGATTCGCGCGCCATTTGTCAAAATTGTCCCGCGTATTGGGACACCCTCGTACACACCATTAATATTTACCACGAAGATTAATGTTTCGATGTCGTTATTCCAATTTCTCTTATTAATATATATACTAATTAAATTCGATTCCGGAGTGCGGAGTGACGAGTGAAAAGATTTTTCTCCCCCTCCCCTCCGCGGAGAAAAGTCCGCCAAGAGAGGACAATAGCTTTCAACCAGGTGAACATCGTCGTCCGAGCTTTAAAACCCGCAAATCTGACGTTCTCACGTCGCGACTATTTTTTTTTTTTTTTCTTTTTTTCCTCCTCTTCTCTTTCCCTGGCAAACTAGTTATTTTTCTTTCCACCTTTTCGTTTCTCCCGTTTCTTTCCCTCCTTCTTTATTTATATTCCCTTTTTTCATCCGTGCCTCCTTGGAATTATGATACGTACACCTCTGGTACACCAAGGACTTAAGCCACCACGGTTTTCCTCGCGGTTAAAAATTTCCAGGTTAATGGCCCTTCTCCACCCCGCGAGCAGAGCCGAGGGGAGAAAATTTTTGAGGTTATGAAACCGATTTGTTTAAGCCAACTCCTAAGATGATGCACACGCACTCGTGGTGACGCGCGTGAGTACGTGGCTTTATTATACACTCGTTTTAATACGTTTTAATGGGACAAAAGGTTAATAGCGGTGCAATTAATTTCGTTGCGTGTTTTTAAATAATCTATACTGTGGCGGTTGTGCAATGTAGGTTGTATAGTAAATAAGTATTCCAGTATTATTCGATTTGCATACAGGTTACGCGCGAAACGTGGAAAATTGTCAAGTGGTAAAAAGTTTTTATTTGTAGTTTTTTTTATTATTATTTCTCTCTCTCTCTTTCTTTCTTTCTTTCTTTTTCTATTCCGTTCGTTCGAAAGTTGAAAGCGAATATATATGGAATCTTCTTCAAATTTTATTTGCCCAGCTTGTTAACAATTTAACGGATCCGAAAACCGAAGAAAAAGATTGGAATCGTTCGCAAGCTTGAATCTTTCATCGTTCTTACGTCTGTTTGTAACGTTGGAATAAGTTTATACGAAATAAATCAAAAGTAATTTCAACGATTTAGACGATCGAATAAGATAATCTGACTCCAATATATTACTTCTAAACAAACTGAAACGGAAATAATGAAATGGAAAATGTACAAAAACGTGGAAAATCAAGAAAATCAATAACGATTATTTTATAATTCAGAAGCAATTCATCGTAACGTGTGCTTTTAACGTAATTGTAAAAATTCGAGACCCGTCCGATGTATAAATCTTTCCACGGAATATTCTTATCGTCGTACATTCGATATCTCGAATAGAAAACTTCAAAAATGGCAGCCGAACCACCACTCCACTCCACTCTCATTGATTTTGATTACTTACTGTCTGTTAGCTTGACATTGATGCCCAGAAGAGTGGGCTCGAGTATCACCAACAATCGATGGTATTCAATAATTTCTATTCCGGTTTCGGTGAACAATATCTAAAACACACCGAGTCACGGTATTTTCCAGGAATGAAAGACCTATGGGGAAGGGAGGGAGGGAGGAAGATCTGGGGAAATAATATCGCTGATGGAAGTGAATCCGTGCAGTCCAATCGAGATTGGACAAAGCAAACGAGCAAAATTGAATGAAAGACTACTCTAACATTTTCGTGGTTTCGAGTACTTATTGTGTTCACCCTCCTCTCCTTCTCTCTCCTCCTACGCATATACATATTCAACGCGTATTTTGCAAATTGAATAAAACATCGAGTTAAATAAACTTCGGTTGTAAACCATCCATTTAACCTTTCAATATCGACCTCCTTTTAAACCTCTTCAACTTTCAAGCGTGCTTCTTTCTTTCTTTCTTTCTTTCTTTTTTTTCCATCCATCTTGGTCAATAAAAGGAAACATAATCTAATAACTCGAGGACAGCGTGAGAGAAAAAAAATGAAAGACTAAACGAGAGAGAGAGAGAGAGAGAAAGAAAGTTAATACACTCGAGAAGTTTTATTTTCAAAGAATTTTTTTTTTTTTCTTCTTTCTCAACTACTCCTTTCGATGCGCACTCGTTTTAACAAAGAGAGAGAGAGAGAGAGAGAGAAATAAATTCCAGCGGAACTTGACGCCGACAATGTCCCTGACCACGAATTTCCCCGGCTGGAACTTTAAAAACACGATTCCTGAACGTCATTACTACTGATTAAGACAAACTGAAGGAGAAGAAGAAGAAGAAGAAACAGAGGGGAGAAAAAGCAGAACGAAATACTTGGCAGAAGTATTGGGGAACTTCTCGATCGTTGAAATTGAATCTGACGGAGAAGATAGCCGGAAGAAAATCCATCCAGGATATCCCCAGGGGCTATTTCAAATCTAAAATACCGGACTGAATCATCCGTGATCGTCGGCGGGGATAACGAAGAGAATAAGAAAAGAAGGAACAGCCTTTCCCCTTCGACAATAAGTCGAATACGCATGGAATCATTTAATAAACGAAGCGAAAGTCAAACCGATCTCTCTCTCTCTCTCTCTCTCTCTCTTGCGAGAAACAAGAATGAAGAAGAAAACTATAAGGATCAGAACATTTTGTTTATCCCAAAAAGGGTTCGGTTCGTAAAAACTGGATCCAATCATCCAGCCTCTATATCCAGCGGATAAAAAGATGAACAAGCTGCGAATCTTTTCTGACCTCCTCCTTGTATACAGATCAACAGATACACTCTGTATATATACATATATATATAAGGAGATAACCGACGAAATCAGCGTGGCAGAAGTGAAGAGTTTCCAGCCACAACTTTCCGCCATATGCAAATTCGTGGCCACCCTCTCACAAGAGGACTCTTGCATTTAACCGACGAACGGGCGGATAATAATAGATAACCGATCGTCGATCTTAAATTAAATCCGCGACGCTTTTCCTTCTTGCTCCTTTTTCTTTTTTTCTTCTTCGATATTCTCGCGAGATACGTGAATCGAAAATTGGCTTGGATCGGGAAGGGAGGAAAAGACGCGGCTCCAAGAGATAATGCAATTTCTACGGGGGATAAATTCGTGGAAACGGACGCGCGTGGAACATGCATGGAACACGCGAACGTATGAATTATACACAGAGTTGCAATTCTTCTTCTTCTTCTTTCTACGCGGATCTCCTCGCCTAATATTTATTTAGGTTAATAATAATAAACGGATGGGAGAAAAGGGCTCCTTTCCAAAAGAGGGTTCCATCGAATTCCTCGAGAATTTATCTAGTAACAATGCTTGGTAACAACAATATTATTTATAATTAATAAACGGCAAAAATGCAATATAATTGGATATTTAATGCTCAATCTCTATCTATTGTCGTGTATACGTATAATTCTGACGAATTTTAATGAAAGTTTCATGCAGATATGATGATATCACCAAGTTTTTCCACGATATTTTTGAATCTCCTCTTATATTTCAGTTTTCAACTGTAGATTGATCCAGATTCGGCTTTGGTTAATCAATATTTCTCCAACCGATCTGAAATCGCGATCGCACAAAATTTTTGAGGAAAATTTTTTTCGAAACAGATCGCAGCGATAATAAAAGAAAAAAGGAAAAAAATTATCTTCAATTTCACTTTCGAACGACTCGAAAGACGTTCGAAAAATTTCAAAGGGAAAGCTTGAATATCCGTTCCCAGTTTATATAAATAAAAACTAAGCAAAGAGGAGGAAGGAATTGGCCTTCGTATCATCGAAGTGCCTATCATCCCACGGAGTTTTCATTGGAGACGAAGCAACGTTGCACAGACGGATGAGCCGCGATCTCTCTGATTCGCGAGCGAGCGAGAGAGAGAAAGAGAGAGAGAGAGGGAGAGAGAGTATCGTTTAAGAGCGGGAGTGGCAAAGAAAGGCAGTAATAAAACTAGAAGGAAGCGTTCGCCCTTTGAAAGGCTGCATCTCATTTTGGTAGGAGAGCAAACATAATCAAGCCACTTTCACCCGGCAAGCTTTGCCAGCCACAATAAATGATACAAGATTATATTTATCGCGAGATATGAAGGATTCACGGGATGAAGGTCTCTCTCTCTCGAGCCTCCCTCCCACTCTCTCCAGTTTTACAGTGAGCAACGTCTCGACTCAACCGGCTTCAAACTTAAGTATTTATACTGTCGTATAACGGGAGCTACGTACCAATTTTCAAAACAGCTTCTTCATTAACCGTTCCTTGTTTATTGTCGACAGCGAGACACGACTTTGTCGCAAACTAATCAAAAGCGTTCTTCGTTTCCTGCCGAAAGGGAACATGATATAATAGCAGTTTGCCACTGCTATTAATCGTAATTATTATCCTGGAAATATTTCTTTTCGATTAAATTCCCTTTTTTTTAAAAAAAAAAGTGAGATATCGTTTGAATTTAATATAGAAATCTCTTTTCAATTAATCCTCGTTAGGTAGGACAAATTGAGGGAAATTGATTTTTCTCGGATTTGGAACGATATCGAATCTCGTATAATTGATGCGACCAATTAATTCGATCGATGATTCGCTCTATAATTTTAATTGGATATTTAATTTTATTCTTCCTATTTCACAAATATATATATATATAGAGAGAGAGAGAGAATTTCACGCTTGATAAATCTATTAGAGCCACGAAGAATGAGCGAGAAGAAGGGAGAGAATGGCGTGAAAAGAAAAATAATTCCGTCAGATGGCGACACAAGCTGGCATAATCCCCATGGAATAATCCCTAGAGACTTTGAAGACGTTCCAGCCCGGTTGCTAATCTTTTTAAAGCTCAAAAAATTATCGCTCCGAGGAAAATGATTAGAGGCGGTGGTTAACGTGATTGCTCCACCTTCCCCACGTGTTATCAGAGCGGACAGTATAGATTAGCGGAATCGCTTAGTCGATGCGCTGCTGGTTGTATTAGCAGATGCGGTTTGGCACGATTACCTCCCTTAGCTCGCCCCCCGCAACTTCTACCTCGGTATATACCTCTCCTTCGCTATCGGCTTAAAAGCAGAAACTGCAAAAGTTCGTTAATGGCGGGGGCGAAACGGTTCCTATCGAGTTGGATTTGTTCTAACGTTCGATCATCATTGTACGACAGGGTTAAGTTGATATAAAAGATTTTACAACATTGTCAATCGTTTCGAGTAAGATTTTTTTTTTTTTATTTTTTCTTCATAGGAAATTTGATCCTTCGTCGAAAAATTGCAAATATTGAAAGGGTTCTTTTTAAACTCGTTTGCACTTTGATGATTAATTTTATTATTCTATTCAGGGTTTTTGTAGAAGGGTTATTATACAGTTTTTTTTTCCTTTTTTCTTTTTTTTCTTTATCGAAGATAGCAGTTGTAAAATTTTCAACGACGAACAAATTTCACTCGAGGCAAGATTATAATAATGAGTGCACCAATACGCGTTCAACGAGATTATCTTAGCCCGCCTTTACCCGTTCTTATTCGCCGTTATCAAAGTTGCTAAGCAGAGTGCGTGAAACTTTGTAAGCGAAAAGTAAAACAATAGCCGTGGAAGTTATAACTTGTAGAAATTCGGGATTGTCGCCGAAAAGTGATTTTCTAAACTCGAATTCCGAATGCGCGCCGCTTCATTTTCCGACTTTGCAGACATTTTTGTCGCGAATTTTGTCAATTATTTCGCGCGCAAAATTTTGCATTTCATTCCTTTTCGCAACGCCTCGTTACGTAAATATTAATTTCGCGAAAATTACGGAATAAAGCGGATTTAATTATTCTTTTTTTTTTTTTTTTTCTTTTAGTCGAATATTGAAAAGAAAATTTCATTGCCAAAGAATGTTCGACGAATTGATTATTACGAGGAAGATACACTTGTCTGATCAAAACAATTTCTCCATCCCTTAAAACCGCGGAAAAAGTAAAATTTCACGATCAATTGATCGATAATATATCGCGAAAGATTTACAGAAATAAAGCTTGGATAGAAACGCGGATGTAAACGATAGAAAGCTTTTGAAAATATTTCTTCCTCCCCGTTCAATTATGAATTGTGAACCGGATCCCGGAAGTAAATCAAAATTTCTCTGAAAAGTTCATAAAAATTTATCGTTAAGACGTTCCAGTCGAGGCTGGACTCGGCCTCCTCATGCAAATTCACCGACAAATTTATGCTCATCTTGTTTTATCGCGCATAGAATATCACTTTATCCAGCGTAAGTTTTTCATCTCGGATACTTTTTTCCTTTTTCTTTTCTTTTTTTTTTTTTCTTCAGCTCTACCAATTTCTTGCCACATCGTTTAGAGCCTCCCTTCCTGAGAAATTTCTTCGAGCAAAATTTCATGAAAAATATTACTTTTGACAAGTCAGCTTTGCCCTAACCAAGCAAACACGCGGAGCTAAACTATTTTCGATTTTCGATCTAACAAAGATTTAACTCTTTGTACTCTTTCCAAATACTCGTTCGGACAAGAACGGTGAAAACTTTTGAAGCTACACGTTGCGTATAAATATTATTTACCATTTTATTCGAGTTAAACCTCGATATCTCGTAATAAAAATAAAAGTATCGCAATTCTAGAAATAAAATAATTTGAAAAAGTAATCTTGTAATATTTATAAAAAAAAAAAAAATAATTTACAAGCCTTGCATAAATAATCAAATACATTTATACGATACATTTATCGACGAATCTTTGTTCCAATTTTCCCTCAATAAAATCGCTTTATACATCACTTCTCGAAAACGAAAAGGTTAAAGTTAACGGAATTACACAAAAACCGGAAGAACATTGCACTGGAATAAGAATTTACCATAAAATTTACCATAAAAATCTGCAACCTGTTTCGAAAGAAAAATTCAAACCGTATCAAGTTCATCCTCCATTAGATTCGCCTCGTAGATTCGACGTCTCCACGATTGTATATACGAGGAAATTTCGAAACAATCTCTCGCCCACCGATCCGAAGAAACTGTCCATCATCCGTTGTCTGTTTAGCAACGCGTGTCACAATAAAATTTTATACCCCTCCCCTCTTCTTTCCTATTTCCTTCTCCTTTTCCTTTCTTCCTTTCTCCTTTTTTCCCCCCTCCCCTTCCTTCTTTCGATCGAACCGCACACAGTCACGTATACTTCGCGGGATGCACGTAAACCCGGCCGCCAAGTTGCGGCTTCGATACCACATATTTTATATCCAGCCGCGCAGGCATCCACGTGTTTCACGCGTATGAATTATTTCTCTCGTTTCACCGTTGAAATCACTCGACGTCGGTGGCTCCGCTTCCCGTGAATTACACCTTGTTTCTTCCATTCCCCCTCTCCCTCTCCGGCCCCACACTGTGTCATTATCCGGCAAATTATCCATCTCGGATGTAAAGCGGAATGTCGATAATCCCTCCTTTATCCCCTCCTTTATCCATTCATCCACTCTTTTCAAACCTTTCCCTCCCCCGTCTTCGATCACAATCGGTGAGTTATGAAATTTAGGAGAAGGGAAATTTAGGAGAGGGGAGAAAGGATCAAAGCGAAAAGCGGGAAATTCGAATAAACACGGAGGG